ATATACACCACTGTTTCATGAATACATCATGAGGTATTTTGAAACAGGATCATTCATAATATCCTGACGATATACACCACTGTTTCATGAATACATCAGTAGGTATTTTGAAACAGGATCATTCATAATATCCTGACGATATACACCACTGTTTCATGAATACATCAGTAGGTATTTTGAAACAGGATCATTCATAATATCCTGACGATATACACCACTGTTTCATGAATACATTATGAGGTATTTTGAAACAGGATCATTCATAATATCCTGATGATAAACACCACTGTTTCATGAATACATCATGAGGTATTTTAAAACAGGATCATTCATAAAATCCTGATGATAAACACCACTCCTTGATGAGCAGATCACAGGTGATATTTAATACTATTATTTTTCATAAAATCAAATAACAAACACTACTATTTCAATGAATGGACAATACATAATATTTTGTATTACCTTTCTCAACAATTCTAAATTATAAAGACTATTGGTTGATGAATAAAAAGTGATATTTCAAGCTAATGTCATCTACAAATTCAATTACAATATGGCCTTTAGCCTCTCTTCAATAGCCAAGTATATTTCTGTTGATACTTCTGTTTAGAAGGTATCTTAGTTAATATTTTTTGAGAAGACAAACATGTGAGTGAAATCAATCAAGGTGACCTTTTTCAAATGTTGAATATTCTCATCAAGATTTAGAAAAATATAATGTGATGTGGATAAAATAATGGGGCACATTACCTGGGCTTGATCAAACATTCGTAGATCGGTGTACATTGTCATTGCTCGGCTTTCGTTTCCAGCTCGTTTGTAAAGTTTAGCAGCCTCTGCAAACTTTCCTTGGTAAGCAAGTGTGTCTGCCAGAAACACTGTATCTGATTCACCTTTCTTCTTTCGTTCCTATGAAATTATATAAAAGTCAAATAATCAAGCCTGTACCAAAACTTAAAAATCTACAAAATAACAGACTGTTCTTAGAACTGGAACACAATAAACCATAACATGATGTCTTTCTTACCACTTAGAAATTTTTTTAGTAACCTCTGAACTTGTATTATTTTGTCAGTACACACACAAAAAGAAATATACTTTATTAAATAAACTTCATTAAAAGTACCAAACTCGGCTGTCAAATACTAAGCAAGTGTCTCCAATAAAATATGGAAATGTATATTTAGAGTTCCAAGTCAAAAGACAGAGGGAGCTAGCTGCCCGAGGATTGGAGTGTTGATAATGTTACTCCTATTTCTAATGGGTTATAAGAGTTGCCCTGGAAATTATGGGTCAGTTAGACTTACTCTGTACAGATAAAAATTCTAGAGTTAGGTAAAGAAAAAAAGGATTTGCATAATAATTTATTGAAATATATCATAAGAAAGCCAAAATAGATTACTAAAGAGAAATCATGTCTTATTAACCTGTTAACGTCTTTCAAGGATGCTACAACCAGTTACATCTGATATTACTGGAACATAAGAACTGAAAAATATCCACTTACTTCGAAGTTCTGAATCAGTTGCAGGTAAGGAACATCTCTGATCCTGATGAATGACTCTCTGCTTACTTGTAGGTCTAATTCCTCTAATGCTGCCATGGCAAGTGCATGCCAATCACCTTCTGTAACTCCTAAACAGGCCACTTTATAAGCCCCACTGAAATCCATTATCAAAACATGATTAAGTTAAGATTTCTGTGTTTCCTGGTATATCTTACAAGTCAATGCTGTTAACTACTCAGACAACACAAAACATTATACCTGAACATCTTCTTCTCCAAATACTGGTACATTGGTGCAGACTGCGGAACTTCAATCGTAGACATACGATTCATATGGAGACAGAATATCTTTGATCCGCAGAACCCAACTACAAAACCCTGAAAAAAAACTGCAAACTGGTAACATCAACTAGTTTGTTTTAGATTTATTTTACAAGTTGTTACACTGCTAAAACAAAAACAAATATTTTTGACAATGTAATTGTTGTTGAGAAGATAGATATTACTATTAATTTATCAAAACAAAAACAATGGTATGCCAACTAGGCAACTGTACCAAATCACACGGGAAACTTTGGCAATTACATGATTTTTAGCAACATTACATGACAACTTGAGTATATCTATACACAAGTGTTTGCAAAGAACGGGCCATATTTAATATTATATCTTAACAACTACTTGTCTTAAGGACACAAAATTACACCAGAAACAAACAACCTTTATTTGGGAAAGTTTTTATATAGCTCAGAATTATTACAGCCGTATTATACTACAGAATGAATACAGCCATACTGTACTACAGAATGAATACAGCCATACTGTACTACAGAATGAATACAGCCACACTGTACTACAGAATGAATACAGCCATATTATACTTCAGAATAAATACAGCCATACTGTACTACAGAATGAATACAGCCATACTGTACTACAGAATGAATACAGCCACACTGTACTACAGAATGAATACAGCCATACTGTACTACAGAGTAAATACAGCCATACTGTACTACAGAGTAAATACAGCCATACTGTACTACAGAGTAAATACAGCCATACTGTACTACAGAGTAAATACAGCCATACTGTGCTACAGAATGAATACAGCCATATTATACTACAGAGTAAATACAGCCATACTGTACTACAGAATGAATACAGCCATATTATACTACAGAGTAAATACAGCCATACTGTACTACAGAATGAATATAGCCATATTATACTACATATCTAACTGCTAACTGCTCAGAATAATAAAAACCACACTGAACATTCTGTGACACTTTTTAAGCAACTTTGTACCATGTTGAAACTGTCCCGAATAAAACTTAGGAATTTCATGGTTCATCTGCTGAAACTTGGTTGCCCTAAGACAAGTAGTTTTTACAATATAACCATTTTAAATATCATATTTTATTTATAAACATTCTATAGTTTATCAGCAGAAAAGGACATGTATGAAGATATCAACTAGTTTTTGTCATCCAATTATGTTTAAACAAAACTGTTTCATGTTACATAGCTTGCAAATCCTAATAGAAAAAATATAAAAAACCACTACAGGATTTTCCAGGACCTCATTTACTGATTTTAACAGAACATGAATTATACCAAATCAAATAAGTAATGTTTTATTGCATTTTAAAATATGCAGTAACAACTGTATTAAACATTCTAGCAATGAGAGCAACACATGAGCTATAAAAAAATACATTTAATGAATTATGAAGAGAAACAGCCAGTATCCAGTTAAAATTATTTAAATGAATATTTTCTTCACTATGAGAAACAGACAGTATCCAGTTAAAATTATTTAAATGAATACTTTCTTCACTATGAGAAACAGCCAGTATCCAGTTAAAATTATTTAAATGAATACTTTCTTCACTGTGAGAAACAGCCAGTATCCAGTTAAAATTATTTAAATGAATACTTTCTTCACTATGAGAAACAGCCAGTATCCAGTTAAAATTATTTAAATTAATATTTTCTTCACTGTGAGAAACAGCCAGTATCCAGTTAAAATTACTTAAATGAATATTTTCTTCACTGTGAGAAACAGCCAGTATCCAGTTAAAATTATTTAAATGAATATTTTCTTCACTATGAGAAACAGCCAGTATCCAGTTAAAATTATTTAAATGAATATTTTCTTGACTATGATTATATTTTCATACATTCATTACTGTTACTTTTCATTCTTGATAACATGATTGCATGTCAGATGATACACTTTTGGTTAATTACTTCAGCCGTTTTGTTCTTTAAGGCTGGGGTTGTGTTCTGTAGGGTGTCTACCTCTTGATAAAACCATAAGGATCCTTTTCATCATAAAACATATTCACTCCCCAGTGTGCACTTGCACTATGTCGCCTGAATTCGACATTTTACTGAAGTCAAAAAAAAACAAACCTATGAAACAAGCTATTCCAAGAAATTCCATATAACTGTGACAGATCACTGACAGATTTTTTTGTGACTTACAATACTCTAAATAAACTTAAACTCTTCCCTACTTCAACTTTATAGCAAGCGACAGTTAAAAACTCCTCCAGCATGTAACCAAAAAGACAGGTCAACTTCTACACGACTGGCTACTGAACATTCATCATGTCAACTGTGCTAACAAAGTAAAAATTCAGTAAACAAAACTGGTTTAGAAAATTTGATGACTTTCCAGGATTTTTCATGACTGGGGTAAAACCCTGTTAGCTCTCACTGTTTCTAAAAAAATGGAATAAGTTAAGATAGGATGGAAGTTAGCTGTGTGTTTAGAACAAAATGAATTTTTATAACTCATTACTTATATTTATGTAAAAATAAAAGACTTAAAGTTTAAGTTAAGTTTATAAACATTTTGACAGTAGATAACTTTTATTATGTATAGCACTTACATAGCTTTCATGGGAGCGTTAGTTACCTGTAACTTTTGCTGATGGGATGGAAAATCACGAGCTTTGATATTTAAAAATCCCGCTCCAGAATAACACAGCATATCTTCATTCTGACTATTCCATGCTACACTGTTTGCATTGGGTTCCTGAAAAAAAAAAGGGATCTTGATCCATGGACCACTAATATGTCACAGGTTAAAAGATAAATACATTATAACTTATAAATCTGAATATTATCACACTGTCGACATATTTCAAAATGAACAAAAAGACATTTCTTTTTTCAGTATAGAATCTTTTAAAAAATTAAAAATTGAAAAGTATGCATTTTGTTTAGTAAATACTAACTTTATATCAAAGCTCCTTGGTGTTAACCTCATACACCAAACACATGCCTGTGTCACCTACTACAGCTAGGTTATAAATACTAACCTGATATAAAAGCTCCTTGGTGTTAATATCATACACCAGAAAAATACCTGTGTCATCTACTACTGGTAGGTTATAAATACTAACCCAATATCAAAGCTCCTTGGTGTTAATGTCATACACCAGACTTATGTCTGTGTCACCTACTACAGCTAGGTTATAAATACTAACCCTATATAAAAGCTCCTTGGTGTTAATGTCATACACCAGACAAATACCTGTGTCATCTACTACAGCTAGGTTATAAATACTAACCTGATATAAAAGCTCCTTGGTGTTAATATCATACACCAGACTAATGTCTGTGTCATCTACTACAGCTAGGTTATAAATACTAACCCGATATAAAAGCTCCTTGGTGTTAATGTCATACACCAGACAAATGTCTGTGTCACCTACTACAGCTAGGTTATAAATACTAACCTATATAAAAGCTCCTTGGTGTTAATGTCATACACCAGACAAATGCCTGTGTCATCTACTACAGCTAGGTTATAAATACTAACCTGATATAAAAGCTCCTTGGTGTTAATGTCATACACCAAACAAATGCCTGTGTCATCTACTACAGCTAGGTTATAAATACTAACCTGATATAAAAGCTCCTTGGTGTTAATGTCATACACCAAACAAATGCCTGTGTCACCTACTACAGCTAGGTTATAAATACTAACCTGATATAAAAGCTCCTTGGTGTTAATGTCATACACCAAACAAATGCCTGTGTCATCTACTACAGCTAGGTTCTTTCTTGTAGCACTTAAATCTAAACATCTTACAGCTGAGGCAATTTTCAACACTGGTAGAGGGAACGGGTTGTCCACAAAAAGTTTTACAATCTGGAGAATCAACAGAATATGAGTGATGCACTCAAACATTCACAAATACAATTACTTATTGAATTTATAGTCCAAATATTTTCTGTTATCACTAAGACAAGTATAATCATGGCAAGTATAGCTTAATAACCTACTGCTTACTACTGTTCTTCAATTTTATATAAAAAGCTAACAGCTATCTTATTTAAACTAATTAAAAACTACATATAAACTTATGGACATGTTTAAGTCAAACATCAGCTTCAGCTAACAATCAACAACATATAAACTTGTAGACATGTTTAAGTCAAACATCAGCTTCAGCTAACAATCAACAACATATAAACTTGTGGACATGTTTAAGCCAAACATCAGCTTCAGCTAACAATCAACAACATATAAACTTGTGGACATGTTTAAGTCAAACATCAGCTTCAGCTAACAATCAACAACATATAAACTTGTGAACATGATAACAGAAACACTTTAAGTCAAACATCAACCTCAGCTAACAACCAACAACATATAAACTTGTGGACATGATAACAGAAACACTTTAAATCAAACATCAGCTTCGGCTAACAATCAACAACATAAAATATAATACTGTTCATAAAACAGAGACCACTCGCTCATCACCATGTATTAAAAGTTCAAGACATGCCGAGTTTCCTTTAGTGAAGGTACTTCAGAATTTTATAACATCTAAAGGAAAAACAAATGCATGTAAAGCACATTTAGGTTTTATTTCTCTAATATTTGGTGTAACCATTGTTAGCTGAAATTCCTGCCCGAAACTGATGAGGAATTATTTCTTTAAGCATTTGGAGATATTGAGAGGGAAATAAACTTCAGCCATCTTAAAGTGACTCTGGGTGAAGTTCCTCATTTGTTTCGGGCTAACTGCATAGCTCTTCTCAAGCAAGATAGTCTCATATACACTCAATAATACTGAGGCCTGTTAAGGCCACATTACCCATTCAAAGATTTAATCTACTTCTTTTGTATTAAGATACTGTTTTAAAACATTCACAGTACATTTGGGATTATTATCACGCTAAACAAATTCTATATAACCCTGCAATTTCACACATCAAGTAATTTATGTGAGAACCAAACAAACATAATACCTTATAACATACAAACACACTATATTAATTAAATTCACATAAACTGATCTTTCCCACCAAAAATATTAGCATAGATCATGATATCTAGCCTAACGAATTTAATGTTAACACTATTTTGAAAGGTGACATCGTAAGTTACTAAGTTCGAATCGGGCCAATTATTGCATAATCAGGAGAAAATCAGTGGAATTTGTCAAATTTCCCAATCACAGAAAACTAATTGCCGAGAAACCAGATATAACATCACTCAGATCACTTTATTCACAACAACAATCTTCTGATTTGTAAGCCTGTATTTTTTACTTTTTCTTTCGACACGAAACATTATTCACCATAGAATAAAATATCATCAGATAAAACAATCTCTCTCCATTTCTCATGTATTTACGTAAGTTGATACACTGAACACAAGAAAGGTTAAAAAGCAATGCTGCTCACATCATAAAGAAAACCCATTTATTTCTCCACAGACAATACATTAGCAAACAGTCGAGAACAGCACCGTATGCACACAGCTAATACACAGTGTGTGCTTGTTGGAGATCTATGCAGACTCTTCCCACCAAGATCTCTGAATGATATGTTATGTGGCTCCCCATTAATACTTCACTGTGTGTTAGCTGGAGATCTATGCAGACTCTTCCCACCAAGATCTCAGAATGATATGTTATGTGGCTCCCCATTAATACTTCACTGTGTGTTAGCTGGAGATCTATGCAGACTCTT